CATTGTTACTATTTTTCTTTGTAATCCTATGCATTTTTAAAAATTTGCATTTAAAAATATTATTTTAAGAATGGACTTTAGGTTTCAATAGAATTCCAAAGGGGTGTCTTATGACAAGGTTAAGAAAATTTGTTCTCATCCAAGTGCCTCTTTATAAAGTTATAGCCCAGAGAGGCAAAATTAACCTAAAATCACACAGCTGATTTGCGGCAGAGCCAGGATTAGATCTAGAGTATTATGACTGTCTGTCTAGTGTTCATCCACATTTTGTGTCCTTTGAGTGGTTGGTCTATTTGGACCCTTCCTACTTGTTTAGGTAGATTTCAACCTAAGTACTGTGAATTTTGCTTTCCCTGTAAAATGGAGGATTTATCTTCCCCTCCTAACCTGTTTATGAATTGGTTCATTAATCAAATCACCTATCATTTCACCTCTCTGTGAGTCTTTGACACATTCTTATATTTGGCTGAGTGTTTTGGTCAGGATCTGAAATGCTGATAGCTCTTCTAAAGGAAGATCCCCTGCTCTCAAGCCTTTAGGCAAGATGCTATTTAGTGTCTTGTGCTAACAAAAATGAAACCTACACAAAGGGTCACATATGTATCAGTCTTCTCTCACACCTTGGACTGCTCCTGCAGCTGCAGTTTTAAGATAACCATGAATTGTCCTAACCCTACATCAGTAATAAAGCCAATTAATTACAAGACTGGGGTGAGTGGAAGAGCTAAATATGCATTCCTTCTACTGTTTTGGTTGGTGGACTTGTTATATTTGTGACAATAAATGAGCTGCTTGTTTTAGGGCTTCTTCAAGAAACATGATATAGCACTCTATTTTTCTTCAGATTTTGTGAATTGCAGTTGACACAGTTACTAAATTATATTAATCTTGACGAGTCATCTGAGGATGATCACTGCCATGGATTGCTCTACTGAGACAACAAAGGAACTTTTCAAAAAAGGAAACACTGCCCTCTTGTGATCCAAAGTAAAATGGGTGTAATCTAAATAAGGCAATTCTTATGAAATGCTTTCTTTGATCTCTTTAAGAGCAGGGAGCCTTGCAAAAGATCAGAACTGAATACAATTATTTTATCCCTTCTTTCCTCTCCTGTGCCACTCCCTCAAAGCAAAACAAAAGGAAAGGACGTCTAAATTGCCCAATAGATTGATTCCATTTACTGATAAGTATAATGAGCATATTTCTGTGTGTTCGTACTTCAAAAGATTGGTGATTTTGTTGGTAGGTTTCTCCTGGCACTGTTATGTAGTGAAACCACTTAACAGATGGTTATTCATTAGATGCTTTGAAAAAAATCATTATCTCCTAAGCAGCCTTCTGGTGGTTAGTTAGCCTCTGTGAATACTGCTAGGTTGAGCTGTCCTCAGAGGACAGCCTCCAAAGGCACTGCCACATCTAGACCTGAAGCTTCTTTGGTTTGAGGGCAATCCTGTGCTCTACTGGTACAACCTTCAGGAACTGTAGAGTCAACTCCCTACCACAATGAGGCATCACAGTTGGATTTTGGTACAAAAAGAGGTTAAAGAAATTCAATGCCTGTCTTCTTTCTGATTGGTTAAAGAGCTGATTTTTCACACCACACACTCTCTGAAAAATATACTACTCTGTACCCCAAATCAGTAGGTCTGTTGTTTTCAAGCGTGTTGTGTTTGACTTTTTTGTTCCACACTTTGAAAAAATTATCTATTTCTATCTACATCTATCTATCCATATATATATATATATATATATATGTATATATATATATATATATATGTATATATATATATATATATATATATATATATATACATACATACATACAAATAATCATCTACCTGACAGGCATAGTGCTAAGCATTAGCGATACAAATATAAAATTGAGACAGTTATTGACCTCCAGTACCTTACATTATAGTTGGAGAATATACATATATACAAATAAATATGTATAAAATTTGCACACAATAAATATAAATGATTTTCATACAACATTTAGCAAACTACTCATGTTTGCAAATAATCAAATTGAACTGTGAAGTGAGCACTTCCTACAGTGGTATAGATCATGACCCATTCATCCCATACCTGCCTTCCTATGCCCCTGATATTTTCATGTCCTCCCATCATTTCACCACAAAAGGCTCTCTACTTGTCATGTATTGGGGGCCTTCTCCTCCCAATTTTGTGAATATACCATTGAAATATACCAGTTGTTTTCCTTGATCTTACTCTACGACAAGCCCATTTTTTCTCTTGTACATCCTTTATGCTGCTTCTCCTTTGTAGTTCTCTGTTTACAGCGTATTTCAGAGGTAGCTGGGTGGTACAGTGGATAGAGGACCTGGAGTTAGGAAGACCTGAGTTCAAGTCCAGCCTCAGACACTTACTATCTGTGTGACCCTGGGCAAGTCACTTAACCTTGTTTGCCTCAGATTCATCATCTGTCAAATGAGCTGGAGAAGGAAATGGCAAACCACTGCAGTATCTTTGCCAAAAAAAAAAAAAGACAACAAAAACCCAAATGGGGTCATAGAGAGTCAGACACAATTGAAACAACTGAATAACAGTGTGATACAAAGTATTCTTCATCACCAGGCATTACTCTATTTTCTTTGAATGATTTAAATTTAAATTCTTTGGAGACTTGTGTTCTATGACTTTAAGCCATACAATAACATTAGACAAACATTGGTACTTAAATACTGGCTTTTAATTCAGAGAGAAGTTTGAGGTCATTAAAATAATTTTACAATTTCTGAAAGGGAAAACATGTATCCTCCTTCTGTTCAATTCTTGACCCAACTCATTACTCATTTGTGGTGTTTGTTACACATACATATATGTGAATATCTCTATCTATGTCTGTATATCTATCTGTTCATTTATCTATCTACACAGTCATCATCTTTTACATGAAAGGCATGGTGCTAAGCTTTAGGGATATAAATATAAAAATGAAACAGTCTTTGCCCACAAGGACCATCCATTTTATTTGGAGACAACCTATACACAAATGAGTATATATAAAATATGCACACTGAGGTAATTTCTTTTGGTGACAGGGCACCAGAACCTGGAGTATCAGGAAAGGATTCATATAGAAAGTGTTGCTTGCGTAGGGGTGTGAAACAAACAAGGATTATAAGAGGTAGATGTGAAGTGAGACAGCATACCACTGACAGGGGACAACCAATGCAGAAGAGTAGAGATGAGAGATTGACCCTCATGTGTGAGAAACAGAAAGAAGGGTAGTTTACCTGGATTGTAGAGTGTACCAAAGGGAATCATATCTAATAAGTTTGAAAAACTAGATTGGGGCTAGATTGTGAAGCTAAGTGAAGGTGCTAATAGTTGATCTTAGAGGTATCAGAGAGGTGCTGTAGCATACTGAGGAGGAAAGATCTGCCAATGATCAGACTTTAGACTTTTGAGCACTTTTGGAAAGTCATCTTGGCAATTAGGAGAATGGATTGGTTGGGAAACGGGGAGAAACTTAAGGTAAGGAGGCCAATTAGATAGCTATTGTAATATTTCTGGTAAGAGATGATTAAAAAAAACCTGGAATAGATGATTGGCTGTCTGAATAGAGAACAGGGGACAGACATGAGCAATATGGAGGTACAAACTATAAGAATTAGCAACTGATAGTGTATGTAAGGTGAGTGTCAAGGATTATACGAAATTATTTTTGACTGGATGACCAGAAATATAATTGTATTCTTAAAAAGATTAGGGAAGTTCAGAATAGGGTTTGGAAGGAAAGATAATGAGTTCAGTTTTGGACATGTTGGGTTTGACGCTTATGGGATAACCAGCTTGAAATATCTAAAAAGCAAGCATAAAATCAAAACCAGAATCATCTGCACAGAGATAATAATTAAACATAAGGGAGCATTTACTGCAAAGGGAGTACATGGATATATGCTCTAAATAGGATTACAGAGAAAGGTCCATAATATAGCTTTAGGGTACAGCCACAGTTAGGGAGCATGATATAGATGATGAAACAACAAAGGAAACTGAGAAGGAACAGTCAGACTTGTAGGACATGGGAAAGGAAAAAATGTTATGAAAACAGAGTGGAACCCAGAGTGGAAGAGAATTTCCCCTTATTTGTCACTCCTTTCCTTAGTTTTAGAGTTTTATTTATTCTTTTTTCTTTCCTCCTTTTATCTAGTTATTTAACTCTCCCTTTTTCTTTCAAATAGGACATTAAATTTTCTCTTTTTTGTGTGGGGGGGAAGGGATTAATTAAAAACCTATTTGCTTTTGTCCCTTTTAAATTCGTTTGTTAGTTTTTTCCTCATATTTTGTGCCTTTTTCTGAAAAAGATTTTTTTTTGCCTTGTTCTAGTCAATTCTCTTCACTTCTGTCTATTTTAAACTTTTATTCTTTGATTTATGGTCCTATATTTGTTCCTTATTTATACTCTGTGTTCCTCATTACTGGGTCCATGGCCTCCCACCCTTCTGGATGCTGGTTGCTACTAGGAGTACTAATTCTTCTTTTCTTGAGGTAAGATATTGTCCATGGAGGGACAATACATTCTCAGATTGTTGTATCTCTGAATACCAAATCCTTGCAGGTCATTCCCATTTTCAGGTCCCATTACAGGACGTATTTTTTCCCCCATGGAAGTGTTCTTTACTTTCACAACTATACTGAGATTTCTCCTTTTTTCTCTGTTCCAATCTCTCCCTTTGCCACCTTGCCATTCTCCTACGCCTTTTCTTCTTTATGGGAAAAGATATACTTATACACAAATCCTGAGTCTGTCAGCTCTTTCTATCTCTCTGTATGTCTGTCTGTCTCTCTGTCACTGTCTGTCCTGTCTCTCAACACGGACCACATAATAATTTGTTTTGCTAGTTCATGCATAGTTGTCATAGGGGATTTAATTGTCTTTTTAATTTTTCTTTGGAGAAAAGTTGAAGGGAGAGGAAATAGATTTTTGTTAGTTGAAAAAAAAAGACATCTTTTAATGATCCCACTACTAATTCCTTTTTTTTAAAGCCCATAGCTGCCTTTCTTTTTCAAGGTGTTTTCCTTTTAATACTTTCTGGAGATAGGGCGATTTATTGTTATTTGTACTTTGCTTGGTAGCTGTGTCAGGCCCAGAAAGAGACATTTCCCTTTTAGTGTGATTCAAAGTGAGATCCAAAATTGGTAAACAGAAAAGTGGCCCGAAATCAATTCTAGTATTTCTTAGAGGCTGAGAGGAGAGAAGAAGTTAAAAACTCAATTCTGGAACAATGTTCCAAAGCCTGGGAGAAGGTAGGCAATGACCAAGGTCAGGAAACTGGAGTTTGAGAAGAGCACAAAACCTTCATTGGTGACTGACAGCTTGCCTCACCTCTTGTAAAGAATCATTCTGAGATAGTCTTCCATGGCTATGGAGTGCTGGCCATGTGGTTTTCTTGCTCAGCTGCCTCTTTACAGCTATGAACCCAGACAGACTCATGAAGGTCATGCCACATCTACTTAAGTCAATGAAGTGTTCAAACACCACCGCCCCTCCTTGTGATTCTTTCCAGGCTTTAGTATATGCATTTATTTTTGGCCTTCCTGCGCTCAGTTCTATCTCTTGTGACTTTTCCATAGCAAACAGCCATTTGAATTCTAGCCAGCATTTCATCGTTTGGTTACCGAGCACAGAATAGAGCTGCAGCATGGACATACTACACTTTTTGTTTTTCATTCCTTTCTAGGAGTGCATCATGCTACAGTGAAATACTTTGCAGGTAAGTATAACAACTATGTTTTGTGTAATGTTAGCAGTTATTCTCCAGGTATATGATTTTCTCTCAACAATACTGATTAAATGCATTATGCCTAAGCTCATGTGTATTGACATGAATATACCTAGATTCTATAATCAAATAAAATGTTGCAGTTTCCAGAAGCAATTATTTCATCACCTTGGTTTTTAGAAGTGATTTCTTTAAGCTGATTTGGATCTGGCAAAGGATACAAGGTTTTGGTTGAAAAGCACACTAATGAGTAGAGTCTGCATTTGGTAACATGATGTAATCTGAGAAGTAGCTTCCAGATCACCTCCAGTGAGCCCAGAGTGCAGGCATGCAAATCTTGAACCATGCTGCTTCTGCCAAGAGAAAATTTAATAAGGGAATAAATCTTTCTTTTCACAGTTAAAAGTCCTTAATTCCTTCAACTTTCCAAACTTCTCTTTTCTAAGGATTCTAGGTATCAAAATGGTGTCCCTTGAAAATTATGCTTTGAGATTTAGATTATGCCTTCCCCCTGCCAAAAAAAAAAGTATTTATGGGTTTGTTTTTAAATGTCAGAACAAAATGTTCACCTTAGGCAAAATTGTGAACTTCATTGTGAGTATCCTCCTCTCTCTTTAATACCCCCCTCCAACATATAAATAGACATCCACCTTTATACTGTGTCTTTTAATTCCTATTTTTAGGGGCTCTCCTCCAAGAGCCCCATTGTGGAATATTTACCCTGGCAATCTTAAGCTGCCTGTTTGGCCACCTAAATCTTGTTGATATTAAGAGAATTTGCTCTTTCTTCTTTCATCACCCAAATTGAGACTGGATTGTTTTGTATTTCTGTGCCTTCTAAAGATGACAACTTGCTAGCATGAGCAAGCTCTAGAAGGAACTTTCAAGCCTTTCTATTTTCATTGCACATAGTGCTTTTGAATGAGTGTGTTCATTTTTACAATTTATTTCTGGAAACAGTGTTCTTGGCTTTGTTATCTAATTCAAAAGAATGACTAATGGTTGAAATTTCAAGCTGGATAGGCATGGAGAGCAGCAGGATGGCAGAAGAGATATTTTTTGGCAAAGGTTGGTGACTTCATTCAATGACTTGGTTAACCTGTCCTGGAGATGGCTGGCCCTGGGGAGTGTTGGGTCATACAAATAAAAAAGACACTTGTGAACCAGTCTTCTCTGAGATATGATGACCTCCAAACTAAGAAGAAGATTGATGAGGGCTAATGTAACATGGAATAAGGCATTCCTTGGGAACTATTACTGCTCCCCTCCCCCACCACGCTGGTATCATTTTGTACATATCCTTATTTATTTTCCAGTGAATGTGTTCTATGTAGCCTTGGTAGAATACAAGTTGTTTTACAGAGGGGACTATCTCACTTTTGCATTTCTATTCACAATGCCTAGCACAGTTCCAGTTACAACTAGGTCCTGATTAGTGTGAATAATGAATCCCTTTGAAATAGCCACATTATCAAATCTGTAATACTTCTATCTATCAGGATGGAACCAATGACCATATTTTGCATTATTATAACTTCAAATAATGCAAATTCAAAACATGACACCACTTCATAGGAATTTATTATTTGCACTAATTGGGGCCTAGCTGTATCTAAGAGGTGCTTAATAAATACTATTTTTTTTTGTCATTCAAAAACAAGTAAAATGCTTTAATTACTTGGCCCCCTGAGCTTGCTGGTGCTTTGCTTTGGCTATGAGCTAGATCTTTTCATTCCTTACAACTGAATAGTCTCTATCTTTTTCACCTTTAATAATTTTTATTGATTTTCTCCTTCCCCTTTAAAAAATATGCCATGGCATGGAGATAATCCTTGATTATTAAAGACTTTACTAGTGGAGTACGAACTCTGCCAGGCTTTACCACCCCAGAAACATCTTGACTATGGTCCTGGAAATGACTATGTCTGCTTTTCAAAGAGCAGCTTAGCTAAGTGTGGGGAAGCTCACCATGAGGAGAATAGCCACTAAATCAGACATGCACAACTTGGCAGTAGATAGGGGCCAAAATTAAAATAGGCTAAACTTCTTTGGACCTCAGATAGATTTTTAGCTGCTCACTTTCCAAGTAAAGGTATAATTCATTATTAAACTATTTCTCAAAAACACTTTTTTTGCTGGGACATAATCTAAAACTGCCATCAGCATACACCTCTTTATGAAGTGACCTTCAGTAAAAGACTTCCCAGCAGCATCAATATCTTTAGAAATCTGAAAACTAAACTTAGTAGCTGCTTCATTTTCTGAGTTTACTTTCTTGAAAAACTGTTGTTTCCCACTGAGATTTTTCAACAATTTAGATGTTTTAATTTGCTTTTCATTGTTGTCCAATTTGCTTAAGTCAGGATGTTTTGTTGTGAAATGGCAAAGAAGACTGTATTCCTTCAGAATGACTATTACTTTTTGGCAAACAAGGCATACTCATGTAAGTAAACAAATATCTACTTGTCTACTCCGGATTAAATACTCTATGTTCTGAATCGATCTTCTGTTTGTTTTTATCTGTTTTACAAAGTCACACCAAAAACTTCAGTGTTAGAACCAAAAAATTTCTATAGCAACTGCTCACATACAAAGAAATACTGAACTGAATGTCTTACCTTGGAGAGAGCACCAGACACTTGTGAAAGATGGAGGTTGGCTGTGCAGTGAGAAAGGGGAAGAAGCCCTCACATTGTTGCTGCTCATTGCATAGAGGGTGTCAGCTACATTGGCACATGGCTGCACTCACTTGTCCCTGTTCAATGCTAGTAATGACTGAAAACACAGCAGAAAGATATGACTCTCTCCTCTCAGACTAGAGACAGAATGACATTGATTGCTGTGGGTCATGTGACAAACAGGAGAGAGAAAGAGAGTGCACAGTGGCAACCTACCCACCAAATTACATGATGGGCACAATAGTGACTAGTGGAAGGGTGGTTAATTGGAGCATTGACAAAGCATTTGCTACATCTTTACTTTCTTTTACATCCTTTTCCTTTTTTGCAGGCTGCCCAAAATCCTTTGGTGGGCTGTGAATAGCCTGCAGGTTGTATGCTGTGCAGGCCTGCACTAACTGCTTAATTCTTTGTTCATGGCAACCCATAAACCAAAGGAAAGTACAAAATTTCTATTAGATTTGTGAAGTCCCTGCTTTGCTTCTGGAGTAATGTTGGAAGAGTGGTAGAAAAAGGGGCTGAGATCACTAAAAAGTATGCAGTTTTATACAATCTATAAACATCAATTTAGCTGTTAGTTCTCAAATGTGAGATCGTTATTTAATTCCCAAGAAGTGGACATACTACAGCACAGACCATAACTAGTCAAAATACTCTAGAAGTTAGACTGTACAAATTGAGGCAGAGAACTGATCAAAGTAGATTATTATTTTGGGTAACAAGTTAAGACACTTCTTTTCACTTGAATTTTTCTTTTCTTTCTCTTTAGGGTAAAATTTTGAAAAATTGCTTTGGTAATCTTTTTCTTTATGTCTACATTGGCAGTATCAGAAATAAGAAATTAGAAATTTTGAAATGATTTTGTACAACTTGATATGCTACATCTGTCGGTACATGCATGTCTCAATCGCAGAGTAATAGTGGTCTCTTTTCTAACAAGTACCAACACCTCTAGGAAGCTTTGTGCAACTAATCCCATCCCCACTGATGAATGAGAGGTACCATGATAGAAAGAACATTGAATTTAGTGCCAGAGGATTTGGATTCAAAGTCTGACTCTGATACATGCTACCTGTTTGACCTTGGGCAGACACCTAACACAGTTCCTCATCTGTAAAATGAGGGCATTGGACCTAATGACAAATAAGATTTTTTTTTTTTACCAATTATAGATCTATGATATTATGAATTTGAATGAGAATAGAGGGCACTCCAGCCATGGCAGAAAGACAACCAGTGAAAGGACACAGAGTCCAGAAGTGAAGTGCCATGTGCTAGCAGCAACAAGATGGCCAGTGTCACTGGATCTTAGAGTACAGAGAGGGGTGTAGAGTGTAAAAAAACAAAACAAAACATTAGAAAGGTAGGAAGGGACCAGGTTGTGAATGGTTTTAAATTCTAGGCAAACAATTTTTATTTGATCCTGGAGGTAATAGGAAGCCACTGGGTAGAGACAGCGACATGGTTAAGCCTTGACTTTAAGATAATCATTTTGGCTGCAGACTGAGGAATGGATTAGAGCAAAGAGAGACTAGAAGCAAGGAGACAAATTGAAAGGTTATGATAGTAGTTGATGTATGAAGTGATAAGGGCCTACACCAGGGTGATAGCTTTGTGAGTAGAGTGAAGGGGACATACTTGAGAGGTATTTTGAAGGTAGAGATAATAAGACTGGGTGATATATTGGATATGCAGAGTAAGCATGGGTGAAGAACTGATGATGACACCAAAGTTGCAAGCCTGGGTGATTAGGAGGGTGCAGGCCCCTTGACCGTAATAGGTAAGTTCAGAAGAGGGGAAGATTTTAGGGGAATGATAATGACTTGTTTTAGACATGTTGAGTTTGAGATGTCTACAACACATCCTATCTCTCTTATCCAAAATACAGTTGGTAATGTGAGACTGAAGCTCAGGAGAGGTTAAAGCTAGATAAATAGATCTGAGAATCATAGAAATGATAATACAACCCAAGAGAGGAAGAGATAGTATAGCTGGAGAAAAGAGGAGAACCTAAGGTAGAGCTTTGTGGGACACCTACAGTTGTGAGAGTTATGTGGGTGAGGACACAGAATGAAGAGTGAAGAAAGGTTAGACAAGTAGGAGGAGAACCAGGAGAGAGCAGTGTCACAAAATTCTTCAGAAAAGAGAATATTAAGGAGAATAGGGTGATTGGCAGTGTCATGGATTTCAGAGAGATCAAGAGAAATGAGAAAAAGCCACTATTTGGGGATTAAGATATCATTGACAACTTTTGAGAGACCTATTTCTGTTTAATGATGAAGTCAGAAGACAGACTATAGAGGATTTAGAGGAGAGTGGAATCACTGAATAAAGATGGTTTTCTTAAGAGCTTAGCCATGAAAAGTTAGCCAAGGGTGATAGCTAGCAGGTATAGTCAAACCAATTGAAGTTTTCTTAAAGTGTAGAAAAGAAATGAGTTTGTAGGCATCAGGGAAACAGCTTATAGATAAGGAAAGCTTGAAGATTACTGAGAAAATGAGGATGAAAGTGAAAACAATCTTCTGGAGAAGATAAGAAGGGATGGAACCAAGAGCACACATAGAGTGGTTTGCTTTGAAGGGCTACCTCCTCAGTGAGACAGGAGATACTTGATAATATTTGAGACATCTGAGTGAAATAAGTTGAGGAGGAAAGGAGAGGAGAGAGATTTTGGAGAATGGTGTCATATTTTTCAGTGAAGTATGAAGCAAGCTTCTTTGGTGAGAGGGTTGGAGAGGAGATGCTGTGGGAGGTTTGAAGAATGGTAAATATACTTAGAATGGCCCCTGTGGTGAGTGGCACAATGAATTGATATTGGAGGTGTAAACTGATTGCCTTGCTGCACTGAGAGCCCGCTTGACATTATGTAACATGAAAGTGTAGTGGGAAATAGCATGATTCCATGATTTTCAACTGTTTCACTCAGAAGCATGTGAATAAGAGAGAAAAACACTACATAATGAGAGTGATTTAAAGACGAGGCTGAGCAAGATGTGATCATTGATTGGATGAAGGGGCTAAGATTATAACATAGAAGATAGTGTAGAGTTGAATTGATTCACTAAGGGGTTATTTTTGTGCATATGGTACCTTTTGCTCTTTGTTGTCTTTGAGGTACAAACCTTGCTAGTATAAGTGGGTCAAAGGGCACAAACCTAAACTAACTTTTTGTGCATAATTACAAATTGCCTTCCAAAATGTTTGGTTCTATTCATGACTTCGCCAACATGCATCAGTGTGCTTGTTTTCCTGAAGCCTTTCTGATTTTATAATTTTTTTCTCTTTTTCATCTTTAGCAATCTAATGGGAATGAGGTAGAACTTCAAGTTGGTTCAATTTACATTTCTCTACTTATTAGGTTTTTTTTGGAATATTCTTCATATGGCTATAAGTAGCTTGAGTTTCTTCCCTTGAGAACTCCTCTTACCCATCATATTAGGTCCTTATTCTTATAAATTGTCTTGGATCATTGTACTGCTGAGAAAAGCTAAGTCAATCATAGTTGATCATTGCACCGTGTTGTTTTTTACTGTGTACAATGTTCTTCTGATTCTTCTCACTTCATTTCACATCAGTTCATGTAAGTCTTTCTAGGTTTTTCTTGTCTTCCTGCTCATCATTTCTTATAGCACAGTAGTATTTCATTGCATTCATATACTACAACTTGTTCAGCTATTTCCCAATTGATGGACATGCCTACAATTTCCAATTCTTTGTCACAACAAAAAGAGTTGCTATAAATATTTTTGTACATACAGGTCCTTTCCCCTTTTTAATGTTCTTTTTGGGATACAAATCTAATAGTCGTATTGCTGGATTAAAGGATATACATAGTTTTATAGCCCTTTGGGCATACTTCCAAATTGCTCTCCAGAATGGTTGGATCAGTTCACAACTTCACCAACAATGCATCAATGTCCCAATTTTCCCATATCTTCTCCAATATTTGTTATTTTCCTTTTCTTGTCATATTAGCCAATCTGATAGTTGTACAGTGGTACCTTGGGGTTGTTTTAATTTACATTTCTCTAATAATAGTGATTTAGAGCATTTTTATAAGACTAGAGATAGCTTTGATTTCTTCATCTGAAAACTTCCTGTTCATATCCTTTGACCATTTATCAATTGAGGAATGACTTGTATTCTTATAAATTTGAATCAGTTCCCTATATATTTGAGAAATGAGGTCTTTATCAGAGACACTGGCAGTAAAAATTGTTTCCCAGATTTCTACTTTGCTTCTAATCTTGGTTGCGTTAATTTTTGTTTGTGCAAAAACTTCTAAGTTTAATAAATCAAAATTGTTCATTTACCATTAAATTATTACCTTTTTCCAGAGATCTGAAAGGCAAACTATTACTTGCTTTCCTAATTTGCTTATGGTATCACCCTTTATGTCTAAATCATGTATCCATTTCACCTTATCTTGATATATTATATAACATGTTGGTCAATACCTAGTTTCTGCCATACTGTTTTCTATTTTTCCCAGTAGTTTTTGTCGAATAGTGAGTTCTTGTTGCAGAAATTGGGGTCTTTGGGTTTATCAAACACCATATTACTACAGTCATTTACTACTTTGTCTTGTGTACCAAATCTATTGCACTGATCTACCACTCATTTCTTAGAAAAGTACCAGATGATTTTGATGATTGATGCTTTATAACATAGTTTGAGATCTGGTACAGCTAGGCCATCTTTCTTTGTATTTCTTTCATTAATTCTCTTGATAGTCTTGACCTTCTGTTCTTCCAGATGAATTTTGTTATTATTTTTTCTAGGTCTATAATATAAATTTTTGTAGTTTGTTGTGGCACTATGTAAATTAATTTAGTTATAATTGTTATTTTTATTTTGTTTGCTTAGCCCACCCATGAACAATTGAAATTATTTCCAGTTGCTTAGATCTGGATTTATTTGTGTGAAAAGAATTGTATAATTGTGTTCATATAGTTTCTGGGTTTGTCTTGGCAGGTAGACTCCTAAGTATCTAATAGTGTCTAGAGTTATTTAAAATAGAATTTCTCTTTCTATTTCTTGCTGCTAGGCCTTGTTGGTAATATATAGAAATGCTGGTAATTTATGTAGGTTTATTTTATATTCTGTAACTTTACTAAAATTATTAATTATTT